TCCACCTTCCCCTTCCCCACGCTCCACCTTCCCCTCTACTGTCCACCTTCCCCTCCACGCTCCCCCTTTCCCTCCACGCTCCACCTTCCCTTCCACGCTCCACCTTCCCTCCACGTGGAGCTCCACCTTCCCCTTCCACGCTCCACCATCCCCTCCACGCTCCACCTCCTCCACGCTCCCCCTCTCCACGCTCCACCTTCCCTTCCACGCTCCACCTTCCCTCCACTCGCTCCACCTTCCCCTCCACGCTCCACCTTCCCTCCACGCTCCACCTTCCCTCCACGCATCCACCTTCCCCTCCACGCTCACCTTCCCCTCCACGCTCCACCTTCCCTCCACGCTCCCCCTTTCCCCTCCACGTGAGCTCCACCTTCCCCTCCACGCTCCACCTTCCCTCCACGCTCCACCTTCCCCTCCACGCTCCACCTTCCCTCCACGCTCCACCTTCCCCCCCACGCTCCACCTGTCCCCTCCACGCTCCACCTTCCCCTCCACGCTCCACCTTCCCCTCCACGCTCCACCTTCCCTCAGCTCCACCTTCTCCACGCTCCACCTTCCCCTCCACGCTCCACCTTCCCCTCCACGCTCCACCTTCCCTTCACGCTCCACCTTCCCTCCACGTTTCCACCTTCCCTCCACCTCCACCTCCCGCTCCACCTTCCCTTCCACGTTTCCACCTTCCCCTCCACGCTCCACCTTCCCTCCAGCTCCACCTTCCCCCACGCTCCACCTTCCCCTCCACGCTCCACCTTCCCTCCACGCTCCACCTTCCCCTCCACGCTCCACCTTCCCCTCCACGCTCCACCTTCCCTCCACGCTCCACCTCCCCTCCACGCTCCACCTTCCCCTCCACGCCCCACCTCCACGCCCACCTTCCCTCCACGCTCCACCTTCCTCTCCACGCTCCACCTTCCCCTCCACGCTCCACCTTCCCCTCCACGCTCCACCTCCACGCTCCACCTTCCCTTCCACGCTCCACCTTCCCCTCCACGCTCCACCTTCCCCTCCACGCTCCACCTTCCCTCCACGCTCCACCTTCCCCTCCACGCTCCACCTTCCTCTCCACGCTCCACCTTCCCCTCCACGCTCCACCTTCCCCTCCACGCTCCACCTTCCCTTCCACGCTCCACCTTCCCCTCCACGTTCCACCTTCCCCTCCACGCTCCACCTCCTCCACCCCTTCCACGTTCCACCTTCCCCTCCACGCTCACCGACCCACTCCTTCCACGCTCCACCTTCCCTCCACGCTCCACCTTCCCCTCCACGCCTCCACCTTCCCCTCCACGCTCCACCTTCCCCTCTTCGCTCCACCTCCACGCTCCACCTTCCCTTCCACACTCCCCCTTCCCCTCCACGCTCCCCCTTTCCCCCTCCACGCTCCACCTCCACCCTCCACTTCCCTTCCACGCTCCACCTTCCCCTCCACGTGGAGCTCCACCTTTCCCTCCACGCTCCACCTTCCCCTCCACGCTCCACCTTCACTCCACGACTCCACCTCCTCCACGCTCCACCTTCCCTTCCACGCTCCACCTTCCCCTCCACGCTCCACCTTCCCTCCACGCTCCACCTTCCCCTCCACGCTCCACCTCCTCCACGCTCCACCTTCCCTTCCACGCTCCACCTTCCCCTCCACGTGGAGCTCCACCTTCCTCTCCACGCTCCACCTTCCCCTCCACGCTCCACCTTCCCCTCCACGCTCCACCTTCCCCTCCATGCTCCACCTTCCCCTCCACGCTCCACCTCCTCCACGCTCCACCTTCCCTCCACGCTCCACCTTCCCCTCCACGCTCCACCTTCCCCTCCACGCTCCACCTTCCCCTCCACGCTCCACCTTCCCCCCCACGCTCCACCTTCCCTTCCAAGCTCCACCTTCCCCTCCAGCTCCACCTTCCCCTCCACGCTCCACCTTCCCCTCCACGCTCCACCTTCCCCTCCACGCTCCACCTTCCCCTCCACGCTCCACCTTCCCCTCCACGCTCCACCTTCCCTTCACTCCACTTCCCTCCACGCTCCACCTTCCCTTCCACGCTCCACCTTCCCCTCCACGCTCCACCTTCCCCTCCACGCTCCACCTTCCCCTCCACGCTCCACCTTCCCCTCCACGCTCCACCTTCCCTTCCACGCTCCACCTTCCCCTCCACGCTCCACCTTCCCTCCACGCTCCACCTTCCCCTCCACGCTCCACCTTCCCCTCCACGCTCCACCTTCCCCTCACGCTCCACCTTCCCTTCCACGCTCCCCCTTTCCTCCACGCTCCACCTTCCCCTCCACGCTCCACCTTCCCCTCCACGCTCCACCTTCCCCTCCACGCTCCACCATTCCCCTCCATGCTCCACCTTCCCTTCCACGCTCCACCTTCCCCTCCACGCTCCACCTTCCCTCCACGCTCCACTTCCTCCCCTCCCCTCCACGCTCCACCTTCCCCCTCCACGCTCCACCTTCCCTACCACGCTCCACCTTCCCCTCCACGCTCCACCTTCCCCTCCACGCTCCACCTTCCCTCCACGCTCCACCTTCCCTTCCGCTCCACCTCCTTCCACCTCCACCTTCCCTCACGCTCCACCTTCCCCTCCACGCTCCACCTTCCCTCCACGCTCCACCTTCCCCTCCACGCTCCACCTTCCCTCCACGCTCCACCTTCCCCTCCACGCTCCACCTTCCCCTCCACGCTCCACCATTCCCTTCCACGCTCCACCTTCCCCTCCACGCTCCACCTTCTCCCTCCAGCTCCACCTTCCCCTCCACGCCACTTCCCCTCCACGCTCCACCTTCCCCTCCACGCTCCACCTTCCCCTCCACGCTCCACCTTCCCCTCCAGCTCCACCTTCCCCTCCACGCTCCACCTTCCCCTCCACGCTCCACCTTCCCTCCACGCTCCACCTTCCCTCCACGCTCCACCTTCCCTCCACGCTCCACCTTCCCTTCCACGCTCCACCTTCCCCCCCACGCTCCACCTTCCCCTCCACGCTCCACCTTCCCTACCACGCTCCACCTTCCCCTCCACGCTCCACCTTCCCTCCACGCTCCACCTTCCCTTCCACGCTCCACCTTCCCCTCCACGCTCCACCTTCCCTCCACGCTCCACCTTCCCCTCCACGCTCCACCTTCCCCTCCACGCTCCACCTTCCCCTCCACACTCCACCTTCCCTTCCACGCTCCACCTTCCCCTCCACGCTCCACCTTCCCTTCACGCTCCACCTTCCCCACCACGCTCCACCTTCCCTTCCACGCTCCACCTTCCCCTCCACGCTCCACCTTCCCCTCCACGCTCCACCTTCCCCTCCACGCTCCACCTTCCCCTCCATGCTCCACCTTCCCTACCACGCTCCACCTTCCCCTCCACGCTCCACCTTCCCCTCCACGCTCCACCTTCCACGCTCCACCTTCCCCTCCACGCTCCACCTTCCCCTCCACGCTCCACCTTCCCCTCCACGCTCCACCTTCCCCTCCACGCTCCACCTTCCCCTCCACGCTCCACCTTCCCCTCCATGCTCCACCTTATTTTACATTTTTTGACGTTTAGCAGAACATCGTTTTCTAAGATAAATATTTTTTCCATTTTTTTCTTTAACATAGGATAACATAATTTGCTACAATATATACGCCTATTAATTCATTATATACGCCTATTAATGCCAACAAGGTGGCAGAGGAAAAAATAGGAAGCGTCAAAATTTAAAGGTTTACCTGTGTGCGAGACGTGTTGGTCCGGCAGGCGAGGTAACCACATGTTTCCAACCCAGCCAACATGTCAAATTTTTGTTCCAACCATATATAATGTGGTAGCTTCAGGCTGTGGGTTTTCCCCCACAGTGTATCTATTATAATAGAGTAGCTGTACACTGCAGGTGTTCCCACCATGTAACTTTCATATATAACACATTACACTTCAGGTGTTCCATGTAAATTTTATGTATAATAGGGTAGCTGTACACTGCAGGTGTTTCATGTATAATAAGTAGCTGCACACTGCAGGTGTTTACATCATGTTACTCTAATATACATTGGATAAATATACACAGATGCTGTATAACCTACAAGTTTATCTCACTCCCCTTGAATGTACAGCAGTAATATGGGCTTCCAAAAACTAAGAAAGCAGCTGTCCAAGTTACACCTATCACTCGTGGTATTGTTAATACATGCCCACATTCTTGAGCACGTGTCCTTGCCAAGAACCGTCTCTTTCTGCTAGGAACCAATAGCAACATTCTCTTTAAACACTCAGGAGATCTTAAAATGAGACATTAGTATGTGTTAGGAGTAAGATGTTGGATGTGATATCCTTATTCACAGAGGTGCATATTGAACCAAAAGCTGTCATGCAGCCAAAAGGTTCATGATAACCTTGGTCTAAAAGCTGTCATGCAGCCAGAAGGTTCATGATAACCTTCGTCTAAAAGCTGTCGTGCAGCCAGAAGGTTCTTGATAACATTGGTCTAAAACCTATCATGCAGCCAGAAGGTTCATGATAACCTTGGTCTAAAACGTATCATGCAGCCAGAAGGTTCTTGATAACCTTGGTCTAAAACCTATCATGCAGCCAGAAGGTTTGTGATAATCTTGGTCTAAAAGATGTCGTGCAGCCAGAAGGTTCTTGATAACCTTGGTCTCTCCCTCCCATCAAAATATTTTGGCTATCTAATTGAGCTGTGCATGAATTTCATTTGCTTCAGCTGCAGGGACAATCTTTGCAGTGTTATAATAGGGGTAATGGGCTCACCTGTCAGTGCAGTTTTTGCCAATTTATTCTTGAAACAAGTGGAGGCATTGTTAATATTATCCCCAAAAAGAACAATACTGGAACAGTACACAGATAGTTCGCACACAGGAGAGAGCATCAATTGTGAATTGTAAATGATCCAAGTCGGATCGAAATGTCGTCATAAGCTTCTCTTTCCTGTGTGCAGGGTATTTGTGTAATATTATCCCCAGTAATGTCAAATCTAAATTTCATTTTTTTTTTTTTGTCAAGTTGATTAATGTGATGGTTGTTTCAGAGGTGGAACCAGCTGCCTCGGCTGCAGCGAGTAGTACTCCTGATGCTGGGAGTGGCAGGCATTGTGGCCCTCACCTATGTCATTACCAACCATGCGGAGCCCTCAGCACCGCCTGCTGCCTCTCACTCTGCTGATCATGTTGTAAGTCATTTCACACTTAGTTGTTTTATCATAAGCTTAACAAATGAAAAAGTTATGAAGTACAGTAAATTATATAAAGTATTCTGTGTAATATGGTGGTAGAATACCGACAATACGTTAGGTAAAAGGACTGTGTGCAACTAATGCGATGTTTTATTGTTGTTTTGCTCCTGGAAAGCGAAACTTTGCCACAATAAAATGTAGCGTAAGTTGTACATGTGTCATTTTACCTAAGAAAGCAGTTCATGGTTCTCTGAATAGTTTTAGAAGCAGTTTTGTAGATCTTTATGAATACAGTATTGTCAATAACCATAATGTGATATAAAATCAAAATTTTCTAATTGTAATATACTGAAGTAAGACGCATTTTCACAACACTTGAAAAGTAAATTATGTACAGCATATATAAAGCACTAAACCTGTGAAGTCATTCATCAGAAGGAATAGCGGAGGCTCAGTCCTCCTCCCTCTAATAGTGATAAAGACTACTCTTGCAGTCAGGCTCACTTTTAGTAAGTCAACTGAACAAAAGTTGGAATTACAAATGGTAAATTAATTTCCATGCTGATGTAATGTATGCATATTGGAGTCTAATAGATGAGACAGTTTGAATAGACAATACAGAAGCATTGAGAGTACAGTAAAACCTCCAATTAATGTACTCACATTTAAAGGATTTTGGAAGCTATGGACAAAAAAAAAAAAAAGGCTGGAAAAATGTTGGAATCGCCGGACAAAATATAAAATGTCTGTAGATTCTAAATTTGGTTCGTAGCAATAATGTCCTGATGTCTTCTGAGTCAGCGACCCTAGCCCAGTGATTCCAGCATTTGTCCGGTAAGGGATAGTGTCCTCATTCAGGATCTGTCTTCATTTTCCCAGAACCTTAGGCCACCTGCATCAGGATTTACAGTATTTTCTGTAGCTATAGTAATGTACTAAATAGAGTGTAATTAACAATGGCTTTTAAAGCAAGTGGTGGAGCCAAGGAGCAACATGTGAGTCTGTGTTAAACAGAAAGTTGAACTATTAAGAAAGGTTGAGTGTGGTGTCTCAGTGGCCTGGGTGTGTGAGGAATATAGTGTTAAGAAACAGTCTGATTTCAGTAGAAGCAAGAACAAACTTAGCTTATTATAGATGCTGACCTACTACTTCCCAGCCATCTACAGTCTCACTTATGGAGCTTACATCTTTTCTGACTCAGAGTAAAAATTATTCTGAGTTACCACTATAAATCAAGGCACCTTAGACCTCATGTTTCCACCACAAAAGACAAGTAAACTTACTGTAAATTATGTACTGTAGAATTAGTACACTATCTTCTACTGTGTATGACAGTACCATTGTAGTACTTTCAACTTCATTTTATTTACAATTCCTGTGTTGTACTGTACTGTTTTACAGTAAGTACAATACTCAATGATCTATTCATGTTTAAAGTGTATTGTATTTCTTTGTATCATTGTTTATATATTCTTAAGCACACACTTAATTTATTATGAAGAATAATAGAAATTTCTCGTTAAATTTATAGGACAGTTACTTAACACCGCCTCCGTTACTGCCTCACCCACCTGATAATCTACCAGAGAAGTGAGTGAATTTTGTTTTATTCTCTTAGAGCTTTGCAAATGTGTCATTTGATTTTAATATACCGTTGGTCAGGAAAATGTCTTGATTATGAAATTATAACAATATTTTTTGACAACATTTTGGTCGAGGTTGTAACTTGATACTGATCCAGGATAATAATAATAATCTACAAGTACATGATACAACTTATACAGACCTTGCTGACATCAGTGACATACTATATAGAAAGCCCCTTGTTATGCAGAGCATATTAGGTGACTTAGGTTAATTTTGTCCCCAGGATGCAACCCACATCAGTCAACTAACACCCAGGTACCTACTAACTGCTAGGTGAACAGGGACAGCAGTTGTCTTAAGGAAACATACCCTAATGTTTCCACCTGTACCAGGGATCGAACCACGGATGTCAAAAGTTGTAGATTAATTGTTCAATAGATTAATTGTTAATTGCCAAAATATTGTCTTATTGTTCATATTTTTGTATGTGGAAATATTTTTCCAACAATGCCAAAGCATCATTCAGGGTAGAAACTACTTGACAGACAACAATCACTCATACAGTCAGACCTCAGAATTCACAGGACTTGAGTTTCTGGAGTGAGAGACATGGTAGGAAGTGTAGAATAAACCCACTGAAAAGTCAGGGTTCTCCATGGGAAATGGAACAGAATTCTTCCTCCGTAAGCCATGTGTGTCATTAGAGGCGACTAAAATGCCGGGAGCAAGGGGCTAATAACCCTTTCTGTATACATGACTAAATTTAGAAAGGGAAACTTTCGTTTTTCGTTTTAGGTCACCCTGCCTTGATGAGATATGGCCAGTTTGTTGAGAAAAAAGAAAAGGTCTGGATGCCATAACCAAAACTAAAAATGCTGTATTAACATTTCAGGGTCCACAATTCTTCACCCTTCTGTCAGGAAATGTTTGAAAAATTTGAAGTGGGGAAACTTAGACAAACTCCTACAGAACATACTTAATGAGCCAGATTGTAATGGCAATGTGTGCCTGGAAGCTGCAAGCAGCAATAGCTCATCTGATCAGGCAGTTGCAGGGAAAGTTTGACCACAGACAGAACTGTGAAGTAGAATTTCTTTATCAAGCTCATCCTAAGTACAGTAAGGCCCCGCTTTACAGCGTTTCACCTTACGGCGTTCCGCTAATACGGCGATGTCAAATTATGACCAAAATTTGCTATACGGCAAGTGGTCTTTCAAATACGGCGCGCCCCACCCAGCTTGTTTACATTTTCCGTGACCTCATCTATTATGTCAGGAAACTTTCCAAAATTTCAAGTTTTTTAAAGTTACTGCATATTTTATATGTACTCTGATAATTATACTTAAATGTACCTGTACCTAAATATACTTACACACTGTGATGGTATGCAGGTACACATTAAAATCGCTAAGTCTCTCTCTACTCATGACGCCAATACTACGTAATAATAACCACTCTTTGGCACACTAAATGTCTTATTTTACATCAATATAGGCATTTTCATTAATCCATCTATGATATTTTCCTCAAAATTATATATGAAACCCATTACATAGCATATAAACATGATATATACACTCAGAATAAAAATTGATGTAAATATGAGATTTGTTTACAAAGCAGCTGTGTAGGTAGTGTTGGAAGAATTACGTTTTCTCTAGTCAAACACTGGGGGGTAACTAGAAAAATATTCTTTTCGTATGCCTTTACTCTATATATAGCAATTCACGACCCTTGTGGGTTTAGTGCTTTTTATAATAATAATAATAATATTATTATTATTATTATTATTATTATTATCTTCATTCACTCTAAAAATGATGTGTTGCTGTTTGTTTATTCTGAACTAACTTGTACAACTTGTACACAATGTAAGAGTATTTGTATTGTGAGGTAATTATTATTAAAATAAAAAAATATTGAGGTAAATGTTTTACAAACTCTTACAAATGGACGTGAATGAACTAAAAGTAGATACACATTAATACGCATTTATTTCACCTGACCAAGTGATCATCCACTACCTGTTCAGTTTGTGTTCTTACATTGTCTCAACTCTGTATCTCGTTCTCTCTCTCGTTTACTCTTTCGTTAACTAGTTGGCTCATTGACGATGGCGTCTAAGGTTAGCTGTAATAAAAATCGAAGTCGTAAGCCTCTTGCTTTAAGTGCCAAGTTAGAGGATGATGGTGTGCCATTCTGATTTTATTCAATAAACACCCTGCCACTCACCTCTCACACATTAATATTAATATTTTAAGGTAAGTAATAAGTGTACTCTGTGTGTATCTTACCTTTTATTGTGTTTTTAATGCCTATTTCTATTGCTAACTTAATATAAGTTAGTGTAAACTTGTTGTCTGGCATTTATTGCATATTTTATATGCTCGGTGGCCTGATGGCTAAAAGCTCCCGCTTCACACACGGAGGGCCCGGGTTCGATTCCCGGCGGGTGGAAACATTTCGACACGTTTCCTTACACCTGTTGTCCTGTTCACCTAGCAGCAAATAGGTACCTGGGTGTTAGTCGACTGGTGTGGGTCGCATCCTGGGGGACAAGATTAAGGACCCCAATGGAAATAAGTTAGACAGTCCTCGATGATGCACTGACTTTCTTGGGTTATCCTGGGTGGCTAACCCTCCAGGATTAAAAATCCGAACGAAATCTTATCTTATCTTATCTTACTTGTGGAGCTGTGTGGTAGCCGGGTGGAGGGACAACATTACGCTTTCTCTGCTCAGCCATCAGAGAAAACGTGTACAGCAGCAGCTGACAGTGGTGCAGCAGCAGCTGACCGTGGTACTATAGTGTTTCGATAGTATTTCTCACTTTTTTTACCACAGGGTTGCTACTAGAAGATTTCTTTGGGCCCATGGTGGCTTATTTAGCAGTTACAAGCACTAAAAACAATGGAATAATACAAAATATATCGCAGTGGTCCACTGTACATACATACATCCTCTCCTCGCTTACCAACAGAGTTTTGTTCCTAAGACCATGCCTGTAAATGTCATTTATCAAGAAATCACCACTATACTCACCATTGCCAGATGCTATTCTGCACTCACCATCAGTACACACTATATTACACACTCCATCATCAGACACTATTGTACACTCACCATCACTTAGACACTATATTACACTCATTATCACCTGACACTATTACACACACTATCACCTGACTATTACACTCACTATCACCTGACACTATTCTTCATTCACCATCACTGGGCACTATACTACTCACTATCATTTGACACTATACTAAACTCACCACCACTATACACTATCACTAGACACTATACTACTCACCATCACTTCCACACATACTACATCACTAACCAAAACCAACCACTATACACCAGACAAGGCAACACCACTACCCCTAGACAAACCAACACCACCACACTAGACAAACCAACACCACCACACTAGACAAACCAACACACTACACTAGACAAAACCAAACACCACTACACTAGACAAACCAACACCACCACACTAGACAAAACCAACACCACTACACTAGACAAACCAGCACCACCACACTAGACAAACAACACCACTACACTAGACAAACCAACACCACACACTAGACAAACCAACACCACTACACTAGACAAACCAACACCACTACACTAGACAAACCAACACCACCACACTAGACAAACCAACACCACTACACTAGACAAACCAGCACCACTACACTAGACAAACCAACACCACTACACACTAGACAAACCAACACCACTACACTAGACAAACCAGCACCACTACACTAGACAAACCAACACCACTACACACTAGACAAACCAGCACCACTACACTAGACAAACCAACACCACTACACACTAGACAAACCAACACCACTACACTAGACAAACCAACACCACTACACTAGACAAACCAACACCACTACACACTAGACAAACCAGCACCACTACACTAGACAAACCAACACCACTACACACTAGACAAACCAACACCACTACACTAGACAAACCAACACCACTACACTAGACAAACCAACACCACACACTAGACAAATCAACACCACTACACTAGACAAACCAACACCACTACACTAGACAAACCAACACCACTACACACTAGACAAACCAACACCACTACACACTAGACAAACCAACACCACTACACTAGACAAACCAACACCACTACACACTAAACAAACCAACACCACTACACTAGACAAACCAACACCACTACACTAGACAAACCAACACCACTACACTAGACAAACCAACACCACTACACACTAGACAATTATTATTATTATTATAATCAAGGGGGAAGCGCTAAACCCGGAGGATTATACAGCACCTGGGGGGGGGGATGTGGAAGGCATTCAGGCTTAATTCGGGGAACTGGAGCACAGATCCAATTCCCTAAATCAAGAGCCCCTCACCAACATCAAGGAACCTTCCTTGAGGGGTACACACTAGACAAACCAACACCACTACTTAACACCACTACTCGGTAAACAAGTTAACATCACTACTCTGTAAACAAGTTAACATCACTACTCTGTAAACAAGTTAACATCACTACTCTGTAAACAAGTTAACATCACTACTCTGTAAACAAGTTAACATCACTACTCTGTAAACAAGTTAACATCAATTTGTAACAAGTTAAATCACTACTCTGTAAACAAGTTAACATCACTACTCTGTAAACAAGTTAACATCACTACTCTGTAAACAAGTTAACATCACTACTCTGTAAACAAGCTAACACCACTATACACAAATAACCCGCACATAAAAGAGAGAAGCTTACGACGACGTTTCGGTCCGACTTGGACCATTGACAAGGTCACACAGTGTGACTTTGTCAATGGTCCAAGTCGGACCGAAACGTCGTCGTAAGCTTCTCTCTTTCATGTGCGGGTTATTTGTGTATCGTTCCAGTCACGGTATTGTGCCTTTTTTGTTATTTAACACCACTACTTGGTAAACAAACCAACACCACTACACTA